ATATATTTAAGTATCATTCAACCATAAAAAGAACACAATGCATAAAAATGGATGGCTCAGATAATCAGCATATTAAGTGAAATAAATCAGATTTAGAAAGACAAATATCACATGTTCTCCCTAACATGTGAAAAGAAGGGAGACTACTATTAAACAAAGAGGAAGCAGAGAAGGGAAATGAAGGGAGTATAAGAATGAAAAATAAGGGGGCCGGGGAGATGGCTCAGTGGAATAAGCGCTTCCCTGGCAAGCGCAAGGGCCTGAGTTCAATCCCCGGTTCCGCCAAAAAAAAAAAAAAAAAAAAAGAATGAAAAATAAGGGGCTTGAGTATGATCAAAACACATTATAGGGCCAGCAAGACAGCTCAGTGGTTTAAAGCGCCTGCTTAGGCAAGCTTAGGCAGGCGCAGGGGACTGCAGTTCAGTCCCTGGCACCACATGCCACACCAGCCATGCCCTTAGGGTGGGTTGAGCTGGCCAAAAAAAAAAACCCCAAAACACTATAGACACTGAAAAACACCCCAAACATATGAAACTAGACAGAGAGTAGAACTAGGGAGGTGGTGAGGGAAGAATGATTAAAGTACATTATGTATACATACAAATCTGCCCAAATGAAAGCTATTTATCTCTGTATAACCAATAAAAACAGTATGGGGAGAATCCCTCCAAAAAACTTTTCAATCGAAAAGGCCTTCATTCTCAGGCTTGTACAAATATACACACATTTAAAAATCAATAAAAGACAAACTAGGGAGAAAAAAAAAATACAGTATAGACCAGTAGATGGTAAACTATGCCTGGTGATGTTATTCTTTAATAAAAATGTAGGCCTGTAATCCCAGCATTCTGGGAGACTGAGGCAGGAGAATCACAAGTTTATAAGATCACAGCCCAGCCTGGATAACTTAGCATGATCCCTTCTCAAAACAAAAACAAAAAGCTTTTAAACTGTTTAAGGGATAGAGACATAGGACAATGCAAAGGCCCTGAGTTTGATCATGTTTCTGGGTGTGTGAAATGTTCCTGGTATACATGCAAATAAAAATATTTACTGTAATGCTTGAACAAAAATAATGTACATTTTTATCAACAGGAAACTGATTAAATGAATTCTAAGTCATTTAAGCTACTACTATAGTAATTCCTAGTGCCTCCTCTCCAACCAGAGGTCCATCAATATGTATGTAATTCTGTTCAACTCAGCGTATTCAAAAATTAGCTGAATACAGAATAGGTAAGGATAATTTAGCCAGTAAGCAAAACTAAACAAACTCAAAAAGTTAAAAAAAAAAAAAAATTAGCAAAAGAATGGAGAAAGGATGGCAAATGGTTAAATATAACACGAGTTGCAACTAATTATAAAGATTTTGAGCTGAGGCGCTAACTTGGACCGGGGAG